ACAGTTTGTTTTTCCGGGGCAGCAACGGAGTTTCACAAGCGTGTTTGTTGACGAACGTTTTATAAACAAGGCCCAGTCCGACACTGTATTTGCACATTGTTTGATACTGAAAGATGGAGCGGTTCCAGCTATAAAAGATCCCGGTCATGATTCAGAACTGCAGACAGTAAGTGAAACTGCATCAAATATGATAAAACTAAAGACTTTTTGGAGATATAAAGGATGCAGTACTACTCTATAGGTACTCAAGATTAACATGAGATTGGGTGAAACTGTGTGTGTTATGTCTCCTTTAATGTAATCAGTCAACTGGGGAAGTGTGGTGATATCTACAGGTTACATTTATATACCCTATTTACCTGTGGTGCCTTGCTTTAATACTTTTGCAGTGGTGCTTTTAAAAGGTGACGCCACTTCTCAAAGAGAGCACAAAGAGACGTAACTTCTCCGCGAGTGTTTTAGTGGGAAAACTCTCATCTGCTTTAATGCATCGCCACCATCAAAGTAGCATTTGTGCAGTAGGATGCATTAGAAGGTCACTGACTAAATAGGAAGCATTCAGCAAACTAGAATTAAGAGCAGTCATTTTGAGTCTCCTGTGTGTGTGTCTGCATGGCATTGTAGAATCTTAGCTAATCTTACTCAAACACCAATTTATGATAAGAAATTCTGAGTGTCTCCCAGTGAAAGACCTCAGGCAGTGTTCATATGCTACTTTTAGTCAAAAGTACTAAAGTACTTTACTTACCAAACACATGACTCATTTCTGAAGCTTAATAAACACTCATTTTTCAGCTATAATTGTCACATGCGCCTGCGTATTCAACCTATAAAAGACTCAAACCAACACAACAAAAAGCACTTCAAGATCTTCAAAGAATATCGTGGAGCATATGTCCAAAAAACATGGTAGTACACCACAGCACTTTTTATGGAAATGTGTAAATGTGATGCTCCATTCATCCCTGAAAGCTCTACGAGCATCTTATGTGTCGCTGTGTCATGTCCTGTGGATTTGAAGAGGGAGCAGATTGGAGGAAGACAAACTCATTACCTGCTTAGTTAAGCAGGCTAATAGAGAACAGTGGGCATTGATAATATTTTTTTACAAATCCAAATTTTTTTTTATTAAAAGAGACAGTGGATTGATTCCCCTTTTTAATGTAACAGATAAGAGTTTTACACCACAATTATCAATGGCTCGACTTCCTGCTGGGAGAGAGCGATTGTTAGCGCTGCTCACCTCCAGTGCTTTGCGTTTCCTGTTGAGCAGTTTGGCGATGTCTCCTGCCACCTTCTCCACCAGCTGTTTGGGCGTACTTCGCTCCACAGCAAACTGATTTCTCTTCTCATTATAAATCTGTGGGAGGGCAAAGGTCAAAGGTCAGGCACACAGTAATTTCCTTTGTGATCAATTACATTAAAAATGACAGACTTTTGCAACTCAAAACAAAAATCTTTATATTTTACATATGAAAGTCAATATTTAGAAATCGAATCATTTATATATTTTCTAAAAAAAAATGTAATAGAATAAGTAAAAGAGTTTATTTTTTGTCATAGATAGATAGATAAGTGATGTCTCAAACTAAATCATTAAATCATGAATTTAATTCAATTAAACTAAGTGAAAAAGAGTGCAAGTCATGCCACAATCTGATGTGGACTTATGGGTCAGCATTGTTCCTCACGTCAGCGCTTTTCCCAGTGATTTACACACAGCAGATCTGGTCTTACAGCCTGACTCAGCACACCGCCATGCCATCCACCGTAATCTGACCCCCTGGGACGCCCAGTTATCCCCTCCACCCCAGGGACTCCATTACCCACAAATCCATCTATGTCAAACTGAGGACTAGGCAAAAAGCCAATAGTAATTTTCCTAGAAAGAGGGATCCGTTCACACACACACACAACTGGTGGATGCTTTAGTAAGGGGCTTCGGCCTCTAACACCATGTTTGAAGCTGTGTGTTCCCGTTACCAGATAATGGCTAAACCACAAGCACTGTTTTATGTCAACTTGAGTGAATTAGGACAGAATTGGCGGCCATTGCATGGAATGGGCTGGCGACTAGAGAGGGAAGGGACATTAGCGTAACCTAGTTTTAAAACTGTGATACTTGTTATTTTTGGAATACAATTATAAAGCCCTTGAAAAAGTCATTAGCGTGTTTGATATAAAATACACAGTGTTATGCCAGATACTGATCTCATAAAACAAGAACACAGTTCCCATTTAAACTCAGTAAATTAATTAAAGATGTTCATATTTTTCTGTCTGTCTTAGGATGTGATGAACATAATGTGCTGTAATATATGCATTTCTGTCTGAACACAAATACTGCCCCCTTAATGCCAGGAAGGTCAATAACAGCAAAAAACAAAATTAAAAATAAATTATTTTCATCAAACATTTAGAAGCACCTAGACCAGAAAATGTTAGACAAATTAAAAATACTGAATATACTGAACAATTGGATATATTGGATGTATGTTGGACACATTTATGCTTTTCCTTCACTACCTCATCCAACTCATCTAAATAAATAAATAGATAAACAAATAAATAAATAAATGCTTTTAGGCTGGAGTTAGGCATTTAAAATTATTTATGTAATATAAATACCATGCATATTTATATTGCAAAATAATTCATACCTAGCATATCAAACGTTTATACATTATTTATAATTTTTTTATTGTAATTAAATGCTGAAAAAAACATGCAGTTGAAATTATATTTATATAACCTTTACATTGTTTTATAAGGTAATGCAAAGTGGCTAGAACCAATAAATAATCTTTCTTATTTTTAATTTTTGGATTTTTAATGCCCTCAATATGGAAAAGAAAAACAACATTTAGATATACAGCCAATGCTAAACCGCCTTTATTGAGAGGCTATTATTAACAAAACAGGTTTAAATTTAATCTGTATTTGTATTCAGTAAAGTGTGAAATGCTGGAGTGACTCATGAACTTTAGCTTTCAGGAGAAGAAATTAGGTCAAAATGTGGAGAAAATAATAAACTTTAGATTTTGTGTGTGTGTGTGTGCGCGTGTGTGCGCGTTTGTGTGTGTGTGTGTGTGCGCGTGTGTATGCGTGTGTGTGTGTGTGTGTTGAGATGGAGGAAGCAGGAACAGCAGGCAGGAGGGTCTGCTGTCTGGGTCGGGCCAAGAGATCTAGATGAACTGGGCCAAACACACTCACACCACTGAACCAGAGTGAGCAAAAGCCCATCCAGTTCAATATGCTTCCACTGGCAGTCACACATCACACACACGTAAGTACATAATGACACTCTCAAACAAACACACACAACACAAACTAGCGTGGTCTCCAAAAGCAGGACAGAAACAGAACACACAGTGTCTCATTAGTGAAGAGACTCGTCCCAGTATGCCAAACTGAGACTGTGTTAGTATAAACACACAGATGGTGCAAGAGAGAGAGAATAAGGGAAAAAGCTCAAATATGGTCTGAGATCACACAAAAAGAAAGAAAGAAAAATAATTTATCCATCAAGACAATTACACCCCAGTACATCAGTATATACATATATATATATATATATACACACACTCACAGTTATAAATATAATTTATGTATTAAAATATAAAATAATAAAAATAAATAAACAAATATTTTTATATAATGTATTTATTTTTATATAATAATAAAACTGACAAAAACACACAAAAAAAAAATGAATTATATATATATATATATTTATTTAATAAATATAATACATTATAATAATGCAACAATTTAGTATACATTTTATGTATGTATATATATATATATATATTCTTAATATTTATTATAGTAATTTTATTATAGTCATTAAATATATTGAATAGTCATTTTTGTGGATTTACATGAAATAAGTTCATTTACTTAGAAATACTTTTTTATTTTAATTGGCTTACTCAAATATTTGATTTATGTTCTTATTGATATGGATGGATGGATGGATGGATGCTGCTAAACATCTCCTTTAGTGTCCTACTGTAGAAAGAGAGTCATACCGGACTGGAAAGCCATAAATGATGATAACCTAAAACAGCTCTCTGTCACAGTCTTCAGCGGGTGTGCCCAGGAGGGCCACCAGATGACTGTGTTCTGGGAGCACATGGCTTGTGTTGTGTTTGTCTGTTGCCATGTGCTCTCTCCTGTCTATTGTCTGGCCCCTCCCATCTTGTTACCTCGTTATTGTTTAAGTTGCTCCACCTGTGTCTCCCTCGTTAGCCTCCTCGTTTGGTTCCTATTTATTCTCCTGGTGTCTGTCATCCTGTGCTGATCCGTCATTTCTCATTGTGTGTGTTATATGTCTGCATGGAGTGCAGTTTTGAGCCTGCCTGTCTGTTTTTCCCCCTCGGGGTGGTTTGAGTTTGTTTTTTGTTTTTTGTTTCTTGTTTCATTTGTGACACTCTCTCAGTAAACACTTCAACACACGTGCCCGTACCTGTAATTACACTCCAGCAGATTTACTTTCCCTCCCTGACAGCCAGCTTCCTTTCCAAACACCAGAGACAAAGCAGCAAAAGAGTTTCAATTTGACCTTGTGTCTTATTTTTTTTCTTCGCAAGAATATTTGTTTGAGGTTTTCTCTTTTTTTTTTTACGCAACTTGCTCGCGTTGGAGAGAAAAACGGCTCCGCTTATCAGCCCATGAAGGCGGGCTGTTGACAGAGACAGATGCTGCGTCATTAAGGAATATTAGTGGACTCCGCCAAGCAGACAGCGCACGAATCCCGCCAGGCAGAGGAACAGTTCAATAAAACAGAGCGAGAGTGAGAGAGACTGCAAAACTCTGAGTCAGACAATGCTAAAAGGAAGCAGTCAATGAAGAAAAAGATATGGCCTCCAGAGATTCGAACGGAGAGATTCGATACAGATGTGGCGAGACGGAAAGGACTAAGGGACTTGAGTGACAAGAAACATACATAATGTGAGCGCTATTCCCGCAGAGGCTGGAGACAACAGACTAATAGAAAAGGAGGTCTATAGATCAAGCAGGATAAGACCAGGCGAGGAACTCGAGCTCAGGAGAAAGAGAGATGGACATTTGTTGTGAGAAGACAGTCATGGCTGCTGTTTTTATCAGCACACCATGTTGTGTTTTGAATGCTGGTGTCTTAAAGTCAACATAAAATGCTGTTCAAACTAATTTACTTCCACAAAAGGACATTCAACGGGACTTTTCTCTGTCAGGAATAAACTAGATGGTCTCTATATGACAGGTGGTTGAAGGGGAGGAGCTAAAAATAAGAGGTCTAGATGACATCAGATGAAGGAAAGGAGCAAGTTTGATGAAAGATTACAGACGCACATTGAGGAATGAATATATACTGTAAATGTGTGTGTGTAGTAAAAAGTAGTTGTAAAAATGTCTTAAGTTAAAGTATTGTTATGGATTTTCATATTTTAAATACTGACTCTGAGTCTGAGACGAGAGTAAAACAATACAATTTTCAAAAGAGAGAGATAAAAAACATTCAAGAAAGTTTTCATGTGACCTTCATATAACAAAAAGGGAAAAGTTGTTATCTATTGTTTTAATAAAAACCAACTCCTGGGAAATCAAAGTGCCTGAAGCTAAACCAGCATGCAAATTCATGTTAGTCTCTAGCTGAACTCTACAGCAGGGATTGCAATAAATCAGAACCGTTTTCAGCGATGATGTGTCCGATTGAGCCAAACTCTGAAAGATATCACATTAACTGCTGGCTCATGTCACTGTCTATGAGGAAACTGACCATTTGAGCAGATGGTGTATTAGATGAGTGTGCTGATGCTAAGCACCAGTGCAGCAGCTACAACTCAAACACTCAAATATACTGGTGATCTGGTTGTTTCAGACAAGACATTCACGTACCCACCATCAGGCTGTAAAATAACACACAAAGTCAGGGTCAGAAGAACGGATATAAGAGATGGGGACACCACACGCATATCAGTGAAGAAAAAAAGAGCATTTATCTTTAGGTCCTCATCTCTTTAAGACAGATATGAACGTCAGCTCTTATTAACTTGCTAATAGAAGTTATTGTGTTTGCATCAGCTCCAGTTCTGCATCTCTTTTGCCCTCTACCTCTCAATCACTCTTTCTTTCTCTCTACTAGTGTAAAAGTTCACGTCACACCTGATTCGTCATTCACGCCTGATTCATTTAAAGTCAACATGAAACGAAATTCAGCCGGTGATTCACAAACTTCATGAGACGACAACCTTTATATCTATTTGAAGGTTTTCAAATTACTATTTAAATAATTGTTGTCAGATTATTTAAAGATTCATTTAAAATCTTCAAGTAGATTTTCACGTTCACAGTTCTCTGATGTTGGTTAACAGTCAC